TCCCACCAAAACTCATGATGAAACTTAAATCTCAATGTGACAGTATTGAGAAGTGGAGTTTTAAGAGGTGACTGGATCATGAGGGCTCCACTTTCATGAATGGATTAATCATTAATGGGCTAAAGAGCTAATAGATTAGTGAGTTATCACGGGAATGCATTGGTGGCTTTATAAAAAGAGGAAGAGACCTGAGAAAGCACTTAGCATGCTCAACTCCCTCACAATGTGATACTCTATGCCACCTCAGGACTCCTTAGAGTTCCCACCAGCAAGAAGGCTCTCACCAGATACAGCCCCTCAGCCTGGGACTTCCTAACCTCCAGAAGTATAAGAAATAAATTTATTTTATTAATAAATTACCTAGTCTCTGGTATCCTGTTATAAGCAGTAGAAAACAGACAAAGACAAGTAATATTTAAACAGTGGTTCCCAATCTTTAGTATGTGTCAGTTTCACCAGGAATACTTGTTACACCACAAATAGTGGGCTCGGCCCCAGAATTTGATTAAGAGTATCTGCATTTCTAAGAAATTCTCAAATGCTGCTGACACTGAAATCCACTGGTCTTTGGGGGGAAAAAATCCTAACGATAAATATGTTTCATATATTCACACACCACCAGCCAAATATTGAATCCTTTGGTAGTCAATTTTAAGCAACATAAGTCATGATACAAGCTGAATTCTGGGATGAAAGATAAACTTTTTAAACAGTGCTAAATGGTCTCTGACCCAATTATAACAACATGTAGAAGACCTTAAGTATGCTATCACCAGGGACAGAAATTCCAGCTATATAAAATGTACATGATCTATGTTGTGCTTAATATCCAATAGAGCCAGGTTAAAGCAATTCAGAACAACAACACTATAAGCAATCTGATGGAAAGGACACGTGGCTTTGAATTTATTCGAAATTATCCAGTTCAATTTAATTCTTAGCAAAGCTAACGGCTGAAATGATTTAATATCCAAGTACCAAGTGAAGGAATATTTTAGTGGTATGTTTTTTCATGCTTTAAATAGAGGTTCAGTTAATTTTATCTCTTGCATTCAAAGTGAGGCTTTTTTTTCGGTAGACTGGCATGTAAATTATAATTACAACTAAGGAAAATTTTACTATTATTAATTCAATACATTTTATTTTCCTAAAGCATAGGTGCATTAATTTCGGAATCCAGGACATTATTTAAGAAATCAGACATTCAAAACTTTGAATACTTCTCATTCTCAAATCCAAAGAATCCCATGTGACAAACTAAGTGCAATTTTCAAATGTCCCCATCCTCCATGGACAAGAGTTAACCAAAAGGGCTTTATTTTTAAATTTCTAATATATCACAAATATTTATACTCAATGCAATTAAATCTAAGAAGAAAACCCCTAATTATGAAACAAATATTTGGGGAATAGGGTATACTGTGCAAAGCAATTGGTTTGTTCCAAGATGGTTCACAACAACAAAATGTTCTCTTGGAAATGGCTGATGTTCTAATACTAAAATCCCTTCTCCTCAAGTACAATATGAATCTAAGTTAAACAGTATTCACCTAGACTGAAAAGGCAAAGTCCAAGAAGAAATCTAGAAACAGAGATTTTTAAATGACAGCATCCCAAACCACAATTCCCAAGTTAGCTAACAAAGAATTTTAAAGAAATTTTAAAAAGAATTTTAAAAGAAAAGCAAATAATGGAAGAGTGCACTATGTTTTCCCTATGTTTCCCTCACCCCTTGCTCAATGTGTATTCTTACCCTTAGCTTCCTCTCTACTAATCTAGCCACTCACTTCTGGCAATCCTAATCAATTAATCTTTTAACATGCTCTACCCTAATAACTTTCCCACTCCATTACCTCAACACAACTTTCCTTTACCATCAGGTTTTGTAACTGTTTCCCAATTACTTCTATTTCTCTCAATATAATTCATTACCAAGTAGATTAAAATCTTATAGTACAAAAGTTTTTTTAAAAAATCAATGTTGGACCATATGATCAGAAATCTGTATTTAGAAAGGCCAAATTTGAACCAAAGTGGAAACTGTATTCATACTATTTTCTTTTCTCAGTAAACCTTCAGAACATCCCAGATTCATTATATAACTTTAGTACATATTCAAAGTTGTGCAATTACATATACTTAACTAAATTATGTAACTGATTAACCCTATACAGCTAACTTGATCCCAGTTGCCAGCTACTTACTCAGCAAGACCAGTTCCTATTAACCATCTATCTATCTATGGTAATTAGGTTTTAAAAAGTATGTCTCCAGACTCAACTTTCGCCACAATAACACTGGGATAGTCCAGGCTCCTACCACTTCTAGGGTGACTGCCTACTATGAGTGAGGCACTGTTCCAGGTGCCTGAACATGCAGCAGTGAACAAGAAAGATACCAGCTTTTATATAGTTCATATTCTACTCTGTAGGATAGAGATTAAAAAATGAGTAAAAATCAATAAACATTAAGTAGTAATAAGACCAAAATTATGAGAACATAATCTGTAGCAGGTAACTGGAAGCTGCAAAAGGTGGTTCATTTGGATATTATCAACACCATGTGTAGATCTTATGGTAGTAAGTGACAAAACAGACTAACATCTACATATATTTTATGCATCCATGACATACCTGACTTTAAAAATTTTTTTTCCCAATATTTCTAGGCTATAAGGTTCATCTGCAAGTTTTTTTCAAATTGTTGCAAAGATTTTTCCAGTTTATATACCAAAACAAACCCACATATTAAGTAGATCATGCAGTTCAAAACTTGTGTTTTCCAAGGATTAACTATACATCATCACTTCCTGGTTTTCAGGCTTTTGGACTCAGACTAGAACCACACTATCGGTTTTCCTGGGTCTCCAACTTGTCAAACTCCATAACATGTGAGCCAATTCCTTATAATAATAGCATGCACTCTCATTGTCTCTCTCCCTCTCTTCTCTCTCTTATTCTGTATGTGTTTGTGTAAGAGAGATAAATTACACACACATGGTTCTGGTTTATCATAGAACCCTAAGCATCAGAACATCAAATTCTTAATAAGAAGATTTTAAAGAAATACTACACGTAATGATGTCAATGGAAGAGCAAGATTATCAAATAGCTTGAGGAAGGTCTAATTTTAAATCTTTTTTGAAAAGTTATTTCATAGAATGCATCAAAACTTTAAAACTGTGTATATTGTCTTATCAGATAATTTTATTTACTGGTGAATATGTATATAAAAAGGACATAATCAGAACTATAACCAATGATTTATATATCCTCAGGATAGTTGCAATAACATTTATGACAGAGTCAAATTGGCACAACCAAATGTCCTAAAACAGGAAAATAATTCAACAAATTACATCATTTTCAAAGGATATAGTATTATGCAACTAATTGAAATTATGTTTCCAAAGATTAGTTAAAACAAAGAAAAATTAAAATGTCAACTTTTAAAATAGGGAAGACAAAATGATATTTAGTTATCTAGACTAGACAGGCTACAATGTTGACAGTAATTGCTTCTGAATCAAGAGATGACATTTTTTCCCTGAATTTTTCATTTTTTCCAAAATCAGAATATATTACCTTTATAATAAAATACATATATTAGGGATCTTAAAAAAACATTATTCAAAACTGTGTTCAAAGAAAATCCTATTCAATGGCTTATTTAAGATTCTGTGGATAATTATCAATGAAGACAGTTTTTTGTTTTGTTTTGTTTTGAGACAGATCTCACTCTGTCACCCAGGCTGGAGTGCAGAGGCATGATCACAGCTCACTGCAGACTCAACCTTCTGGGTCCAGCAGACCTTCTGCCTCAACCTCCAAAGTAGCTGGGATTACAGGCGAGTGCCAGTATGCATGGCTAATTTTTTTATTTTTGTAGAGATGAGGTCTCACTATGTTGCCCAGGATGAATGAAGACAGTTTTTTAAAACAAGTCTGTAAAAACTGAAACAGCTTTTTATAATATGTCATAAAAAGATCTGAGCTTTTTAATAAATATATAGCTAGAAACATATTATAGACTGAATTGTGTTCTCCTAAAATTCATGTTGAAGCCCTAATCCCAAATGTAAACGTATTTAGAGACAGAGCCTTTAAAGAGGTAATTAAGATTAAATCAGATCTTATGACTGGGGCCCTAATTCAATACAACTGGTGTATTTATAAGAGGAAGAGACATCAGAGATGCACACAACCAGAGAAAAGACCATGTGAGGACAAAGAAAGAAGGCTCTCTGCAAGTCAGGGAGATAGGCTTCAGGAGAAACCAAATCTGCCAAAACCATGATCTCGGACTTTCAGCCTCCAGAACTGTGAAGAAATTTCTACTGTTTAATTCACCCAGTCTGTGACATTTTGTTATAGCAACTCTAGCAAACTAATATAAAATATAATAAAGTATTATAAAATTTACTTGGTTAAGTAGTCTTTGTTCTATAATTTATACTTTAGAAGGAAGCAAACCAAGGAACAGACAATTTAAAATTTACTTCATAACACAGTGTCACGGCACAGAAGGGGCAAGAAGTCATATTTCCAAATAAAATGTTATTAGTAAGCACTATTAAAAAGAAATAAGGAATAGGATTGGGAATCTGAGTGCTACAGAAAGGTTTAAAAGAGGTTGCACAGTTTTATAGAGATTACTATCTATCTAAAAATGCTCTGAGATTCTGCATAACATAATAGAAAATTTTACTTTATTTGTTCAAAGTATCGCCCAATCCTCAAAATGACTATATGTTTACATTACTCTGAAAGCAATTCCAGTATACTAGCAGTCTGTCTACAAGGGAGAGAACTCCTTTACCAATCCTTTGTTTAGCACATATTAGATCAATATAAGAGTTTCTTTTCAAATAAACTAAATCATAAACACATTTATCTTTTAAAATTTTCAACTACATTTCAGGGAACATATTCAAAAAACAGACCTTTTAGTTTTCAGACCAAATTAAATTTTCAGTTACCAATCTGATTATTCAAAATTACCTTGTCTGGATCCATCTTCCCCCTGATAAATTCTTGCTTCCAGAACTGCAGTGCCTGTTCCAATGTTAAACCAATGCCTTTGAGGAAGAGGCCATACTGCATTCGGCCTCCGTGACGAAGATGGTGATTTTCCCTCAAAGCTTTATGTAACTGACGCATGCAGGGTGGGAAGGATTTGGTAGAAAGCTGCAAGAAAAAAAAGTTTGGGGTTAGGTGGAAGACTTACCAGATGCCCCGTAATACTTTTGTGATTGAAAATTCTGTCTAACTGGAATAAAAACAAAAATCTTAAGGACATATTATTGAATTTACTGTGATTAAAGATGAGCTTTTTCTCATTAACATTTTTGTATTGGTTTCATGTTAACATAATATTTTGTATACTTTGGGTTAAATAATATATTATTAAAATTTATCTCACCTATTTAAAAAATTTATTTTATTTATTGGTAGAGATGAGGTCTCACTATGTTGCCCAGACTAGACTCGAACTCCTGGGCTCAAGCAGTCCTCCCACCTTAGCCTCCTAAAGTGCTTGGAATTACAGGTATAAGTCACCACACCCAGCCTACATTTTTAACTAAACTTTTTCTTTGGCAACAACTATAAATTCACATTTAATTATAAGAAATAATACAAAAAGATATTATGTGCACAGCTTCTCCCAAAGATAAAATCTTGCAAAACTATAGTACATTATCACCACAGGATATTAACATTGACACAATCCACTAGTGTTATTTAGATTTCCTCAGTTGTACTCATGGAGTTATTTGTGTATGCGTATACTTAATTTTATGCAGTTTTATCACATGCACAGGTTCATGCATCCACCACCACAGTCAAGTATCCCTCCCATTTCCTTTTATAAATCACCTCCAACTGCTTTCTGTACCCTGTGCCCCCTCCCAGTTCTCTAACCCTCAGCAGCCACTAATCTGTTCTCATCTCTATAAGTTTGCCATTTCAAGAGTATTATTATATAATATTATCATATAGTATGTTATGTTTTGAGATTGGTTTTCTTACTCTGCGTAACATCCTTGAGATTCATCTAAGTTGTATCTAAGTTCATCTTTTTTACTGAGTAGTATTCCATGGTATGGATGTACTACAATTTCATTAGCTATTCACTCCCTGAAGAACACCTGGGTTGCTTCCAGTTTGGGGTTATTTCAAATAAAGCTGTTATGAACATTATTAAAGAGGGATTTTCTATGGGAACATAGATTAATTTCAAATGTCCAAAAGTACAACTGCTTTTAGTGTAACTCAAATACAGAGTACAACACGAAAGAGAAGTTGTTCTCAAAAGGAAAATTCAAATAAACATGTTAAAGAAATCAATAGTTAAAAGGAAAAAGTGGAGGTCTTTCCCTTAGTGTAAAAAATGAAATATCACTGCTTCCTTTTTTTTTTTTAAGATGTAGGGTACAATTCAGGGTTAGGTATACAAACGTTGATTATGCAGGTACCCTTGTTGATGAGGTATGCCCCTCCCACCCCTAGCAGTTTCCCTCAACTGCTAATCCCACTCCTTCTTCCCTCACAGTTTCCCACTACTGCCAATCCCTTTCTTATAGTATTATGATAATTGTTCAAGGTCCGCTTATGAGTGAGAACATATGCAACTCTGTTCTTTGTTTTTGTGATACATCACTGAGTATGATCAACTCTAAATCCATCCAAGTTGCTGCAAAGCCCATGTTTGTCCTTCTTTATGGCTGCATAATATTACGCTTTTTATACGTACTACACTTTTTTTCATCCAGTCCAGCTTCGATAGGCAACATGGTTGGATCCATGTTTTTGCTATTGTGAACACAGCTGCAACAAACATAAGTGTGCAGGTATCTTTGTAGAATGATTTGCATTACTCCAGTTATATTCCCAATAGAGGAATTGCTGGGTCATATGGAAGATCAATTTCTAGTTCTTTCAGACACTGCCACACTGTCTTCCAAAGAGATTGCATTAGTTTGCATTTCCACCAGCAGTACAGAAGTGTTCCTTTTTCTCCACATCCTCACCAGCACCTGTTGTTGTTTGTTTCATTGATGGTCATTCTTACAGGGGTTAGATGGCATCTCAATGTGGTTTTGATTTGCATTTCTCTGATGATAAGTGAGGCTGAGCACTTTTTCATGTGTCTGTTGGCTGCCTGTATATCTTCTTTGGAGAAGTGTCTATTCATGTCTTTTGCCCACTTTTTAATGGGGCTGTTTTATTCCTTTCGGCACATTTGAGTTCCTTGTAGATCCTAGATGTTAGGCCTTTGTCAGATATACAGTTGGCAAATATTTTTTCCCATTCTGTGGGCTGTCTTCCTGCTCTCTTGATGGTTTCTTTTGCTTTGCAGAAACTCGTGAGTTTGATGAGGTATCACTGCTTACTTTTAATTCAGTCTTTTCACTTATAATCTTTTATATTCTCTCTGACTTCCTCAAATACCTTCCTCCCAGGACTTAATTCTCACTCTCTCCCTCACATATTGCTTGGTGACCTCACTGTCTATAAAAAAGAGCAGGTCACTCTCTACTTGACTTTGCTGCTTCCTCTGGAGACCATAAGTTTCTCTTTATCCTTTCACAGTAACAACTTCTAAATTTTTCCATCCCTGACCCAGTCCATTCAGACCTACTGGGATGGACTTGGCAGGACTACTGGAAAGCCTTTTAGCTCACTTTCATGTGACCATTTTTGTTCCTTTATACTACTACTTGACTAATTTTTCTTAATCATTGTTCTACCAAAAAAAAAAAAATCAATGAATATTCAATATCCTTAGTATGAATATGAAAGTTCCCTCAATATCTGATAACTATTTTTCAATTGCATGTAACAGAATAAATATTTTTAAGTGTTTTGGAAAAAAAGAAGATGAATATGGCAATGTTTCCCTTTAATTCAGCTAACAAAAGGAAAAAGACACAGCAATTATTATATTCACTACTATATAAGTTAAACTCATGTAATAAATTTACATAATGAAGACTCCAACAAGGGTAATACAAGTGCCATGGAAGCACAATGGCAGGGAAGGGAGGTGAGCCCAGCTGGCAACGACACCAATAAGAACCCTCAGTTAGCTGAGTTACTCACTATACCAGGATCACATAGTCATTTTTTTTCTCCCTCTGTTGGCCCTACTTGGTGCAGGCTTTCTACCCCCAAGCCAGCTAGCCAAAGCCAAGTCATTCTTCAAGACCCAATTCAACTCCAACTTTCATTGGCACATTTTTTGATTACTTTTTACTCATTCAGTCACCAAATATTTATCAAACATTTACTACATGTACATCCCTGGGAAAAGAGCACTGAACAAAGAAGTTCAAAACCCTGTCCTTCAAGGGCTGACATTCTAATAGGAGAGGATGGACAATGAAATCAGACATAAAAAAAGTCTAATACCAAAGCACTGGAAAGAAAATGGAGGAATGGAGTCAAGTGTGACCAGGGGAGAGGTACTTTAATTTGGGTGGCCAGAGAAGCCTCTCTGAGATGGCATTTCAGCTAGGAAAGTTGGAATCCAGTGGAATGAAGATCGTGTAAAGAAAAAGAAAATAAGGACCCTGAAAACAAATAAACTTGGAGTGCCAAAAGACAGCATCAGGTCCACGTGGCTAGAGCACAGTGAGCAAGCCAGAACGGAGCAGAAGACAAAACTGAAATGACAAGTCCATTGGGCTTTATAGGCCATAAATGAGTTTGGATTTTAGTCCAAATATGAAAGAAACTCAACAGAGGGTTCTGACCAGAAGACTGATATGATGCAACAGACAAAGAGAACTCTGGCTATTATGTAGTGAAAAGACCACATGGGAGCAAGAATGGAAGCAGGAAGAATACCTAAGAGGCTCTGGCAGTAGTCCAAATCAAAGAAATAAAAAATACAGGGTGCAGGGTTGGCCAAAATGAGATAGAAAAATGATTGTATAAATCGACCAGACAAAAGAATGATATGGCCAGCATATGAGATGAATTATCTTGCAAAGGCCAAAAACAGTAACAGGAATAGTGCTAGTGCTAATGCAAAAGACCATTAGCTGGGGGTAAAATCATCTGTGAATAAGGGTATGGGGAAAGCAGCAACGAGGGAGGTATCGGATGGTAAATATGATCACAAAGGCTTTAAAGGAGCTGGAGCTCTAACAATGGAAGCTAGAGAGATGTGGATCAAGGAAGATACTCGCTCCATGTCTACATGAGGTGTGGGGACAAAAGCAGCCTCTCCTTGAAGAGGGACATAGGGAGACAGTATTGAAGGAGCCAGATTTCAGCTAGAAGAAAAATCTAAAGAAAACATTTGGAGAAGAGATGTAAATATCAAGGGATATGCAAATGACATGCTGTTGTAAGGATCAGACAATATAGATACAGAGTTAGGAAGCCAATAGAGATACATCTGTGTTACTTAGCATAGGGTCTTAGGAAAAGATCATTATCACAGCACTCAGCACAATTTAGTGTGATATTGCTCATTCATTATTTACTATGGTGTCTATATCGCCCAAGTGAGATCCATGACGGTAGGGACATTTTCTGTTTTCCTTACTTCTGTATATCAACTGCACAGTAAATGGTACATAATTGATGGACTCAACATATACTTGTCTCTATCTCTTTTATTTTCTAAATAAACGTGCAAAAACTTTAAATATATATACACACACACACACACACACACACACACACTCATATATTCACTAAATAAATTATTATTTTTTTTTTTGAGTTAGAGTCTCACTCAGTCACCCAGACTGGAGTGCAGTGGCCGTTCCTGGCCACCGCAGACTCGCCTGCTGGGCTCCAGCGATCCTTCCACCTCAGCCTTCTGAGTAGCCAGAATTACAGGCATGTGCTCCACGCCTGGCTGATTTTTTGATTTATTGTAGAGATGAGGTCTCGCTGCCCAGGCGGGTCTCGAACCCGCGGGCTCAGGCAATCCACTCACCTCAGCCTCCCAAAGGCGCGGGATTACAGACTGAGCCACCGAGCCCAGCCCACTAAATAAATTAAGGATCATACTTTGTATGTACTCTCATAGTATCCAACCAAATTCACATTTGCTTGTGAATGGGAAAACATCTACCTAGAACTACTAACAGAATTAATCTAACCATTGTGTAATACAAAGTAAATACAGATCATATGAGGAGAAGGGAGAGAGGATTATTAGAGATGAAATAACTGATAGAAAATTAAAAGACAGCCAGGCTCAGTGGCTCAGCCTGTAATCCCTCACTTGGGGAGGCTGAGGTGAGTGGATTGCCTGAGCCCATGGGTTCGAGACCCACCTGGGCAACTTGGCGAGACCTCATCTCTACAATAAATCAAAAATTAGCTGGGCGTGGAATCTCGTGCCTGTAGTTCCAGCTACTTGGAAGGCTGAGGTGGAAGGATCGCCTGAGCCCAGTAGGTCGAGGCTGCAGGAGCTGGGAGCGGCCACTGCACTCCAGTCTGGGCGATAGAGTGAGACTCCAACTCAAAAAAAAAAAAAAAAAGGAAAGAAAAGAAAATTAAAAGATGAGACAACGTTGAGAACTAATTTCATATCAATTGTGTGAAGGGGGCAATACTATTACTATCTCTAGATATATAAACTGCAAGTACTTGATTATAATTTTTCAAATACTAAGATGACCTATTCATTCTGGTCTCTAAAAACTCATGGTCTCTCCCTACTAAACTTATCATAGCTCTTGTTTCCAAGCATTAAAATTTCAGTGTTTAGCTGGGCTCGGTGGCTCAGCATGTAATCTCGCGCCTTTGAGAGGCTGAGGTGAGTGGATGGCCTGAGCCTGTGGGTTCGAGACCTGTCTGGGCAACTTGGCGAGACCTCATCTCTACAATAAATCAAAAATGAGCCGGGCGTGGTAGTGTGCACCTGTAGTTCCAGCTACTTGGAAGGCTGAGGCAGAAGGATCGCCGGAGCCCAGCAGGTTGAGGCTGCAGTGGCCGGGAGTGGCCACTGCACTCCAGTCTGGGTGACAGAATGAGACTCCAACTCAAAAAAAAAAAAAAAAATTCAGTGTTTTTTAAATTTATTGTGATTAATTTGGTAATTGACTAAACCAATATTATGCCCGGTGGGCTTATTTTCCCTTTTATGGCTGGAGTACAAATTCTTTTATGTATTAAAGAGAGATACTACAAGCTGCAGTACAGCAAAGTACACTTCTCTTCCATCCCACTACTATGGAACCACAAACAAATGAAGCTGAAATGTGCTATCTATTAATCTAATAGCAATCCAAGGATGGTAGCCTATACTTAATATTATGAGATAAATTGTGCCTCCCTCCCCAGATTCACATGTTTAAGTCCTAATTCCCAGAATGTGACTGTATTTGGCAATAGGTCCTTTAAACAGGTAACTAAGGTTAAATAAGGCCATAAGGGTGGAGCCCTAATGTGACATCTAAGCATTTCTTGTAAGTGTTATTATAAGAAGAAGTGGAGAGACCAGGGATGCTCGTAAGCACTGGAAAGAGGATATAAGAGGACACAACCAGAAGGCAGCCATCTGTAAGAAAAGAAGGCCCCAGAAGAAAGCAAAGCTGCTGTCACCTTGATCTTAGATTTCTAGTGGCAGACTGTGAGAAAAAAATGTCTGTTGTTTAAGCCACCAATATGTGGTATTTTATTATGACAGCCCTAACAAACTAATGCACTTAGTATTTCCACTTCTCCTTTACTAAATGTATATGATATTTTAATATAAATGCATAAACTCCATTTAGCTATCAAACTTAAAATAAGTCCCTTTTGCAATAATTGTTTAAATTCTGTTTTAATCAAAGTCCAGACAATTTTCTGATTAAGTTTGGCTTTTCTATGATTTAAAAAAAATAATATGCATAGGACAAGAGATTTTCTTTTAAAATGATCAGCAAGGAATTAAAATAATATTCTCTCCCATCTCCTCAACCAAATATCTGTAGTTAAAGAAAATCCATGTTTTCTCTATTGACAAAGTACTAAGTTTAAAAGTATGTGGTACTTACTGAATCAATCTGATCTAAAGAAATCTTCCCAACATTTCCCTGTGTACTGTAATCTTGGCCAGTGTAGGAATGACTAAAGAAACAAAAACAAAATAATATATATATATTAAAATAGGGTTCCTAAAACATTTTCAATAACTTCAAAAACATTATTTTAAATTCTGATGATTAAAGTCAGAATAAGAAAGTATTTTACATATAAACCTTAGCAGAGACACAGCCAAATGCTTAATGTAGTTAATAATACACAATTAAGTAACTTACCCCCAAACAATACAAAAACATAGCAGCAGTCTAGATCTTCTGATTCTTAGTCTGAGTCTATGCATTTCTCAGATGCATAATCCAAATTATTGTTAAAGTTCAAACTTCTATTTATTCCTTATTAGCAGCATGGCAACATAGCAAAAAAGAAAACTGGAACTAAATCACGAGTCATCAATTAGTAGTAGGTCCCTGAGTAAATTACCAAGTCTTTCTGTATCCCAGGTTCCTTACCTATCAAATGTATTGACAAGAAGTCTGAATTGAAATAATTTTTGTTAAAGAGACTGGCATTTAGTCACTGTTTATTAAAATAATATGTGAATAGCAATTTTGTTAACTTTTAAAATATTTTTATATTTTTGAGTTGGAGTCGCACTCTGCTGCTCAGGCTAAACTGCAGGGGCATGATCACGATCATGGCTCACCTCAGCCTGGGTTAGGCAATCCTTTTGCTTCAGCCTCCTGAGAAGCTGGGTCTATAGGTGTGTGCTAACTTTTTTATTTATTGTTAGACGAGGTCTCATTATGTTGCCTACAGGCTGGTCTCGAACTCCTGGGCTCATGTGATTCTCCTCCTGTCTTGGAATCCCAAAGTTCTGGGATTACAGGCATGAGCCACTGCTCCCAGAGGGAACAGCACTTTGCAACATGCAGAGGCTTCACTATTTTCTCTGTTTAGATCCTCACAACTGCTCTGGAAGAATGTTTTTATTTTACATTTGACAAATGAGAAAATGGAGACTCAGAAGTCAGAAACTTGTTAGATCAGAAAACAAGTTATCAGTGCAGGGAGAATGTCAACCTTTAGACACTCCATTCCCTGTTTCTTCACTATACCATGCCATCTTTCCTATAATACATTTTCTTGTAGTATCATTCACAAATTAGGAAACATACCTTGGTATTTACTACCTAAAGCTATCCACCTTTGAAACTGTTCATCTATTTCACACAACACACTACCCATGCCCAACTCTATAAACACACGTTCAGGAGAAGTTAGGTATGACATAGGAAAAACCAGCTGCAAAGAAATCTGCTATCAAACCAAGGTCCACTCAGACATGACAACTAAAGGGAAATCCTGGAGAAAAGTGACATTACAATCATAAGGAATTCAGACTATCTACTTTCTACTTGCTCACTCCAGATTCTTCCTGCTAAACCATATACACACTCAAGATGTTCCATAAAGACGCTGTTTCCACAGTCATCAGTTTTATTTATTAAACAATGGGTATAGATTGTGAAGCAAAACTGCAATGCTATCTTGGAATACTGGGTCCTACTGGCTAGGAGACTTAGAAGTAGTCCTCCTTCCATGGGCTAAGGGCCTGAGAGTTATTGAGGAACAGGATGGGTAGAATGATACTGAGGGAGACCAGAAGATGCCACTCTAATATGAAGGACTGTTATCATTTAAGAAGCAGATTCAGGAAAGCTCTCTACCATTCCCATATTTGCATAAAAGCAAGACACAGATATATAAAGGCAAAAAGTATCCTGCCTCCTGTCTACCAGGGAGAAGAAAGGTTACTCAGTGAAGGTGACTTCAGACCCCTATATCTGGAGATAATACCACAGGAATCCATATGAATAAGCTTTACTAACTGGCCTTTCTCTGCCATTTATTTGGCTTCCCATAAGTTGCTGCTCCTAGTGACTCAAAGTCCTTTTCCTTTGTCTTGTGATTTCTCTAAAATTTTACAGTTCTTAGTTGTAGATGCTATATAAGCTGGAATTCAAAGCTACTTCTTTGAGAACTATTCATTCCCTGGGTGTCTTCCATGTATATGTAAATATACACGTGCTATGTTTGAATATTTGTCCTCTCCAAAACGCATGTTGAAATTTAATCCCCAGTGTGGCATTATTGAGAGGTGGGGCCTTTATGAGGCGATTGGATCATGAGGGCTCTGCCCTCACGAATGGCTTAAAGGGTTAATGAATTAATAGGTTATCCTGGTAGGGAAACTAGTGGATTCATAAAATGATAGAGACCTGAGATGACATTCTCAGCGCCCTCACCATGTGATACTCTACTGTGACAGCCTAACCAGGTTTGCCCGCTGTTCAGAAATACCAAAACTGACACAGGCATCACAACGGAGAAAGAGTTTAATATCACAAAGCAGCTGAGTGAGGGGGCGGGAGAAATCTTTCAAATCTGCCTTTCTGGAGATTCAGAGGATAGGGTTTTTAAAGAGAATATAGTTGACAGAGGGACAGGGCTGCTCCATTGGTTGATCATGTTGTGTCATTTTCCTATTGTAGAGCCAAATTCTGAGAGGTGGCCTCACATACCAGTTAAGCCAGCTCTGATGTCCTAGCCTGGTTGGAGGTTGGGGTCTATGAGAGTACAAAATCTGAAAAAGATTTCAAATACCATAGTTAGGTTTTAAAAGATGCTGTCTATGAGGCAAGTCCCAAGACCGTCAGGTACCACCCTCTGAACCCTGAGTCATTATGAAGGTACTGTAGTCTGGGAGGAAGGTGTAGGGGGAAGTGAGGTGCCTGGAGATTGATGTTGCTTTTATCTTTCATGGGTCTCCTCCTCAAGCAATCTTACACCGATCAGCCTTACAGGGTAGCTTCCCCCACTCCCCAAGGGTCAGGATGTGAAGGTAATCACAGGGTGAAAGCAAACTTAGAAGCAACATATTTGTTAATTTCTCACCATATTTGCAGCTTTTAATCCATGACCTGATATTAAATTTATGTAGGTGGTTTCACTACACTGCCTCAGGATGCTTCAGAGAGTCCCCAGTAGCAAGAAGCCTCTCATCTCATATGTCTTTTTGACCTGGGACTTCCCAGTCTCCATAACTGTAAGAAATTCCTTCTCCTTATAAATTACCCAGTTTCAAGTTCTCTGTTATTAGCAACAGAAAACAGACTAATGCAGCATGTCAACAAACTTGTTATTTTTTCTCTTATCTGGCTTTTATTATAGGAGTCAATTTCAACTTATGTGGGTTGAATAAAAAATAATTATTCTTCCCCTACATTCTCATATACTAAAATATATTTCCTTGTGTCTTGTATTATTTTTCCCTTGAGTAACAAATTTCTGACAATCAATGTATCATTGGCTTCTAGATATTCCATCACAGTAGCACTATGGCATACAAAACTCATGCAAAGTTAAACCAACAGCTGTTACTTAACTTTAATGTTTTAGACTTTAGCACAGAGCATAACCAGAGAGTTGTTTCAGTGGCATCCCAAGAATAAAACATATTTCACTTTCCAATATGACTGACCTACAGCAGTACAAACATGCAGCATGAGGCAACGGGAATAGCAGTGGGCTAGGAGTCTGATGACCTGTTCTTGTTTTTTGTTTTATTAAAATCACTAGTTCTGCAAACGGGGGCAAGTCATTTAACCTTCCTGATTTGCACCATCCTCATTTGTAATAACGCCAAGTTTGTCCAATTACCAGAAATGCTGGAGAAATCAAATGAAATAATTCAAAGTGCTAATTAAAATCAGTAAAGCATATTCTAGTACACAGAGCAATTGCAGCCTTGACCAGTAAGTACAGAAATGACAGGGTGGTAAGGGAGATAGCAGGACCCTGGAGAGGAGCCAGCAGCCAGCTGGGAGGTACTCAGTCATGCCATTGACCCCTACAAGCCTCAGCTTTTCAGTCTATCAGCTGAAGGTGGCGATTACAATGACCTAGCAGAACTGTTCAGAACAAATAAATTAACAAATATGAAAGTCTTCTATAAATGGTAAAATGATGTACAAACATGATTACTGTTATTGGGTAAAGGGAGGCAAATGGTTACTATGCCACAAGGAAGTTGTTCTCAGCCCAGATTACCACAGTATGCTAAGTACAAAAAGAAGACAAAGAGGACACACATACTGGCCTCAATGACTGTATAAAATAAATACTTGTTCCTAAACACTCTGAAAGACTATACAAAGGGGCAACATTCCAAGGAAAAAGGTAAAAAAGCAAGAGAATGGTAGCAATGGTTAATGTGAAGATTTTACTGGGTATAAATACCACCAGAAAATATAAGAAAATGGTATAGATATCAAATTTCTAAAAATATTATTAATAGAAACGAAGAAGGCCACCAGCCCAGTGTGGGCAAGCGTGGAACCCATGGGGGGGAATATGAGAGAAATGAAGATGTGAAGCAACAGAATTAGGAACGGGATTTCTCTGTGGGCAATGAAAAACCATGAAAAGACGTGAGGCAAGAACTGACATAATCAGGCTTACACTTGAAAAAGAAAGCAGTGTGGAGAAATAGCTAGAAAGGGGAAGGTTTGGGTCATCAAAAACTAACTGGAAAAATATTGCAGGCTTTATTACATCCAACCAAGAGAAGGTAAGAGAGGCAATGGAAGGAGAAATGGAGATGGATTCAGGAGATTTTCTAGAAAAGAACGAATGTATCCTGGTAAAGGAGGTAGAAGATAAAAAATAACACCTAAGTTTCTAGCCTGAGTGACTGAGTGCTTCCAAAATACTATTTCACTTTCAACAAGAAAAGAACTACTTAGCTAAACAATAAAATTTCAATTCAGAAATAAACTTTCAAAGAAATTATAAAAACATAGGTTGAGATAATAAATTATTAGGATGTTTCCAGGAGGATGTTTTTTCTCACAATAATTACTCATAATTATTTTTCTCTAAACAATTCCTCATAATAATGAAACACTGACAGAAGTTCAAAAATCAAGATAGACTAAACAGATAATGCTGCCATAAGATAAAAACCCTTTATAAAAATTCTTATGAGCACCTGGAACTGGTTTTGACTGGGAAGTGCCATGGGA